ATGTTGTAGTTTTCATTGTAGAGGTCTTTCACCTCTTTTGTTAAATTTATTCCCAAGTATTGTATTTTTTATACCTTTATTTTATTCATTTATTCTTATATGTTGCTGAGGATTGAACCCAGTGCCTCACACATGCCAGACGAGGTGCGCTATTATTGAGTTATAGCCCCAGTCCTATATTTTTTTTTCCTGAGGCTATTATAAATAGGGTGATTTTCCTAGTTTCACTTTCAGCAGATTGGTCACTGATGTACAGAAATGCCTTTGATTTATGGGTGTTGATTTTATATCCAGCTACTTTGCTGAATTCATTTATTAGTTCTAGGAGATTTCTGGTGGAATGTTTGGGTCTTCTAGGTATAGAATTCATTTCATTGGCAAATGGTGATGTTTTGAGTTCTTTTTTTTTTTTTTCCTATCCATGTCCCTTTAATTTCTTTCATCCATCTAACTGCTCTGGCTAGAGTTTCAAGAACTATGTTAAATAGAAGTGGTGACAGAGGGCATCCCTGTTTTGGTCCTGTTTTTAGAGAGAATGCTTTCAATTTTTCCCCATTTAGAATGGTATTGGCCTGGGGCTTAGAATAGGTAGCCTTTACAATGTTGAGGTATGTTCCTGTTATCAGTAGTTTTTCAAACGTTTTGAGCATGAAGGGATGCTGTATTTTATCAAATGCTTTCTCAGCATCTATTGAGATGATTCATATAGTTTTTATATTTGAGTCTATTGATGTGATGATTTACATTTATTGACTTCCGTATGTTGAACCAACTTTTCATTCCTGGGATGAACCCTACTTGATTGTGATGCACTATCTTTTTGATATGTTTTTGTATTCGATTTGCTAGAATTTTATTGAGAATTTTTGCGTATATATTTATTACAGATATTGGTCTGAAGTTTTCTTTCTTTGATGTGTCTTTGTCTGGTTTTGGAATCAGGGTGATATTGGCCTCATAGAATGTGTTTGGAAGTGTTCCCTCTTTTTCTATTTCATGAAATAGTTTGAGAAGTATTGGTGTTAGTTCTCCTTTAAAGGTCTTTTAGAACTCAGTTGTGTATCCATCTGGTCCTGGGCTTTTCTTGGTTGGTAGAATTCTGATGGTGTCCTCTATTTCCTTGCTTGAAATTGATTTGTTTAAATTGTGTATATCATCCTAATTTAGTTTAGGCATATCATATGCCTCTAGAAATTTGTTGATGTCTTCAATATTTTCTATCTTATTGGCATACAAATTTTCATCATGGATGTTAGTTATTTCAATTTTCTAGAAGGAAGAGTTGGTTATTTACATCTCAGGCTCTCAGAATGAAAGCTCTTAAAACTTTTAATTTCTCTTAGACACTACCAGAATAAGGCTTAAGGAGTCTTTGTATTGAGATGGAGGCAAAAGGACAGTCACTGTAGATAATGAATGATTGGATCAGGAAAATTGGGGCTGATTTAGAAGGAAACAAAATGCTAATGCCTCTAGGACACTTCCCCTCCTCTGGGACCTGTTGCCAGTATCACCTGCTTCCAGGGAATTGTTTAAGCAAAATAAGAGGAGGAGGGGACATGAGAAGAAAGGAACTCTAAAACCTATAAAATGTGCAGGGCACCCAGACTCCCTGGGACACCAGCTCTGGAATCCCTCCTCTTCAGGAGTCTTCCTCCACCATCTTGTTTTTTTTTTTTTTTCCTAAATCTTGTGGGTTTTTAAAAATTTTATTTTATTTATTTTTTATTTTTTAGTTGTAGTTAGACAGAATTCATTTATTTTATCTATTTGATTATGGTGCTGAGGATCGAACCCAGGGCTTCGAATGTGCTAGGCAAATGCTCTACTGCTGAGCCACAACCCCAGCCCCAAGCCTGTGTTTTTAACCCCTCCATGGACACCTTTGACTAGGGCCACGTTAGAGCTGTTTCCTCTGTTTTGTTCACTTATTTAATATTAAGTGTCTGGCACTGGGCTTAATGTGAGTCTCTCCCACAGTGTGAGGCTGAGTCCAAAGCAGGCATCTGGAGAGGTAGAATACTAATCAATGGGAAAAGGACCAGTAAAAAAGCTACAGGGACCCATCTGGTTAATCCTGTGCCTGTACTCCATGCAGCATCCTGACTCCCGTGCTGCCCTTACTTTGGCTGCTGGCCTCTCTCTGATCCCTGGATTCAAGGCCTGCTGAGGAAACCACCATCTTGTTTTAAATTTTTAAATATTTATTTTTTTAGTTGTAGTTGGACACAATACTTTTTTTTTATGTAGTGCTGAGGATCTAATCCAAGGCCTCTCCCATGCTAGGCAAGTGCTCTACCACTGAGCCACCCCCCCCTCCAATCCTGTAAATGAATCTTTTTGAGCTTGCCTCAGGTGTTTAATCTTCAACAATGGGGATTGGACAGATCTGATTTTCAAGACTGGTTTCAGTGTGTTTCTGCCTAAAGGTGTTTCTTACTTGTTAGAGAAAGAAACTATTTTGCTGAATCTACCCCAGCCTTCCTAAATCTTAATTCTCCTACCTTCATCACCTCTAATAACTGCTACTTAATGAAATGTGTCTTCTTCCTGTCCTTGATTCATTTCTTTGCCAGCTACCTGGCATATTCAGTACCTAACTTCCTATTAGCTATCATCTTTGCTCACATTTGTTTTGATAGCCCAGTTCTGTGGCTGGTTCTCAATAACAGACTCTTAGTAATGATAACCTTAAAGCTTTTCAATAACAAAGCATATTTTATATATATATTTCTTTTTTAAAAATAGCATTAGTATACGAGATTGGATCTATTAATTTGAGAGTAGCATTATATCCTAAGCCTTTTTTAGCAAGTTACATAATACAGTATCTTTTGAAAGTTTTATTGCTACTATGGTACTTACTATGCTTGCTGTTCAAAAGCCAATAATTGAGAGCCAAATGATCAAGAATGATCTTGGAAAGAATCAGGTTTATTCAAGAGCTGGCACCTTGGAAGATGGAAGGAGGCTATTGTCCTTAAAACTACCTCTTCAGGACCTAAAGGATAAAAAGGGCTTTTCTGGGGAGGGAAAAGAAGGTACCTAAGATAAAGGGCTAGAAGGCTGTGTGCTGAGTGAGGTCTTAGTCATCCAGGGTGTGTATATCCTGTTTTCTTCTTTTCCAGAATGTGGCAGTGGACCTCACCTCTTAGAGCTAGTTCCTATAGTTCTTTTTAGGCAGATATATTACTTTTCTGCAGGTTGGCCTCACAACAATTTACATGCTGGGAGAGCCATTATATACTGTGTTGTTTACTTGGCGTACTGTGTTTTGTAAATCTAAAGAAATTCAGCAGTTAACATTAAGCATTTGTGTGGCTTCTCTTTAGACTTTGAATGCTGGGAAAAAAGGGAGGGGACATAATACTTAGTGCAAAAGAATTAGGGAGTAAGGGAAGGACTAAGGGAAGGAAAGAGATAGTAATTCTGCCAAGGGCTACTCCCAAAGGAATGGTCACTGGAGACTTGAGTGGTTTAGGAGTAAAACAGTTTTCATTGGCTCTTTCTCCTCTACTGGCTAATACTATATACTCAGCTATGTCTTTATTGAATTATAATCACCAACATCTAAATTTAATTATTCTTTTTTGTTTCAGTAACATAAACCATGCAGGCACCCTTATTTCTGGTTTCCTATTACTATGTAAAACGTTTTTGAATTTTATTATTTACCCATAATCTAATAGAATATTTTATACCAATCATAAATTATTCAAAACAAGTAATACTACTATAGAAAAACCATATCTTATGTTTACCCTCTCTCAATTCTACTTGAACCAAATAGCATTTTTAGAATTTATATGTTGATTAGCAGGATGACATATAGCAGGTTAATATTAGGATATTAAATTTATTAGCTTTAGTGTACATAAAAAAGATTGAAATTGTCACTTTGTAGTACCCAAAAGGCTTACTTTATATGTAATGTACTAGTTTGAATGAAGTTAAATACCTAAATGTTAATTAATATTAAAAAGTAATTATGAAGTTAATATGCTTATTTTCATGATAACTTGCATGATCATTTCATTCTTCTTCTTTTTTTTTTTTTTTTTGGTTCTGGAGATGGAACTGAGGAATGTTATATCTCTGAGCTACATCCCCAACCCTTTTTATTTTATTATTTGAGACAGGGTCTGGCCAAGTTGGCAAGGCTGTCCTTAAATTTGTGATCTTCTTGCCTCAGCCTCTCAAGTTGCTGGGATTACAGGTGTGAGCCACTGTGCCTGACCTGTATCATCAGAATTTTTTAAGAATTCCTAAAATATAGTAGGATTACAGCTGTGTTTCAGGATTCACTGAAATGGTATACAGTGCTTATTTCAGAGCCACTAATAATGCAGTGATGAGAATTTAGCAGGTTTTAAGCCTTTAATCCTATGTAATTTTTTGTTTCACTAACATAAACCATGAAGGCACCCTTATTTTTGGTTTCCCATTACTATGTAAAACGTTTTTGAATTTTGTCGTTTACCCATAGTCTAATAGAATATTTTATATCAATCATAAATTATTCAAAACAAGTAATACTGCTATAGAAAAAAACATGTCTTATGTTTACCCTCTACCAATTCTACTTGAACCAAATAGCATTTTTAGAATATACATATTGATTAGCAGGATCTCATATAGCAGATTCACATATAGAACATATAAAAATATTTTTTATGTAAATAGTTAAAGCTCTGTACAATGTGTGGATTACTGATGTATAACAAGCATTGATATAATACTATAGAACTTGTATTTTCTAACTTTGGCAGTATTTGTTTTGCAGGAGAAGATAGAAGTAGAAATTATTTTTACAACTAGAATATGTAAAATTGCCCAATTGATATAATTTTTTCACTATTACTACAAAATTGGCTAAAATTAATGCTCTTCTATCATAATGGACCAAGACAATTTACATTTAGTTTTCTTTGTCTTTTTGTTTGTTTTGTTTTATTTCCCTTCTTACTACCCACCCCCTCCAATTATTCATGACATTTCAGTGCTTCAGAGAATTTAGATGAGCTCTCTTCCTCCAGTAGCTGGTTACTTAATCAGAAGCACAGTAAGAAAAGGAGAAAAGACAGGACAAGATTGAAATCTCCATCCTTGGCTATCATGAGTACAGCAGCCCGAACAAGGCCACTTCAGAGTTTCCACAAACGAAAACTCTACAGATTGAGCCCCACTTTTTATTGGACTCCACAGGTAAGGCCACTTTTGGGGGGAAAAAAAAAAAACGTGAACAAAGATTTCAACTGTCAAGTATATTTCACCCACAAGGGGATGTGGATTGTACATAGTTATTTAAAATAATAACATGTAGAAAACTTATAAATGGCATAATAGATATTGATAATATGAGTGGTAATTGTTTAAACATAGCAGTATACTCTGAAATTTCTCACATCTCTAGGTTTTGTCATTGTTGTTATTTTAGTGTTGGGGATTGTACCCAGTGCCTCTTACATGTGCCCTGCCTTTCACTGAGCTTTACCGAAGCCCACCCACCCTCCAATCCTGGATGTCCCTGAATTTAGTTTTTGTGATATTTGGAAATTACCTAAGGGTGCTTTACCACTGAGCTACATCCCCAGCCCTGTTAATTTATTTATTTTGAGACAGGGTCTTTCTAGGTTGTCAGAGACCACCTTAAACTTCTGATCCTCCTGACTCAGCCTCCTCAGTAGCCAGGATTATATGCCTGTTACAGTTAGGCCCAGATCCTGACCCCTACCCCTGTTAAAAAACAACAACAAAAAAAAACCACCTGTTTTTATTTTGCTTAAACTAACTTGAAAGAAAATTAAAATGTATTTGGTAAGTGCAATATGAAAAGAGAAATGTACTTACATATTCATCTTAGGAAAATTTGTTCAGATAAAGAAAAGAGCATATCTGTGAGTTACTTTGGCAGAAATGATATTGATCTCCTTTTTAGGATTGGTATTTGTTAATCCTGGTGACCATTTTTTTTTCCTTCCTCTGGAAAGTTAGCACTAGAATTTTAGATTTTCATGCTTATACTTTATGTAATAAAAATTGCTTTATTAAAAGTATTCATTTGAAAAATCATATCTTTTTATCTGTAAAAAAAAAAATGATGAAGCAGTTCATTTAGTGCTCCTCTAACTAGGCTGTCAAGGACAAAATAAGCTGTCTCTAGTTCTTATGGTGTGACCTGCTTTCTTTCCCCTACTCTTTCAGATTTATTCCCTCTCTTCCACTATCCCTATCTTCCTTCCTTTCACCATTGCTCTCTTCCTTTTTATTTTTTGGTCTTGGGGATAGAATTTAGAGCCTTGTGCATGCTAGGCATAGATTTCTTTTTTTTTTTTTATTGTTGGTCGTTCAAAACATTACATCTTTCTTGATATATCATATTTCACGGTTTGATTCAAAAGGGTTATGAACTCCCGTTTTTACCCCATATACAGATTGCTGAATCACATCAGTTACATCAATTACATTTCCATTGATTTACATATTGCCATTCTAGTGTCTGATGAATTCTGCTCTCTATCCTATCCTCTACTATCCCCCCTCCCCTCCCCTCATCTCTCTCAACCCCCTCTACTTAGATTTCTTAATAACATATCAAAGAAAGAAATTCTCCTTGATGCTATTATTTAGTATTAGTTCTGATTATTATTTCATTAACTATTTTAATATATTTGCGTAACAATAAAGATGTGCCATTTCATTAGGAATGAATTTTAAGCTTTGTTTTACTAAACTCCAATTATAAATAGGAATGTGGATTCAGAAAAATTGATTTTATTAAAAGACCTCTTTTTTACCATTAGTAAATGAGATATTATCAGACTCTACCAACCTGAAAATATTTTTAAATAATTGTTTTATTTCAAGTTTTTGCGTATTAAATAATATTATTTAATATTTTTATATAAAGTTGCTGCAAACAACAGATAAGTAACATTTTTGAAATGTGATTTTTGTGATTTGATAGTCATAAATAGAATTGTCTAAAATACTTCACCCATAAATATACTATTATATTCTGACTGGAAGAAAGCTGCATAAATAATTTAGGTGATTTGCCAGAGGTCATTAAAATAATTAATGTGTACTATGATCATGTAAAATATTGGCCTGGGAAAGTGTGATCAATTTTAAAACTATAAGCAAACAAAAGAAGAAACAAGTTGTAGGGTTATTTATTTTTCCTAGCAGCATACATAGTTTACTGCATTCCTATCACTATGCTGAGTTTTAATCATCAAATATATTTAACTATGAGGTACTATTAATCCCACCTTCACATGCAAAAATTTAGGTTCAGGAAAATTAAGTAACTTACACGTAAAGTCACACAGCTAGCAAGCAATTAAATCTGACTTCAAAGCCCATGTTCTTACCCATTATATTGATAAGAACAAAGATAAGGCTAGACTTTGTATGCCTGAAATCAGTAAGAGATAGTAGACTTTTTTTTTCCCTTGAAGTACCAGGGATGAAACCCAAGTGTGCCCTACCAATGAGTTATATCCCCAACCCTTTTACGAATTTATTTTAAGACAGGGTCTCACTAAATTGCCAAGGCTGGCCTCAAACTAGCAATCCTGCTGCCTTAGCCTCCTGAGTCACTGGGATTACAGGTGTGTGCAACCATGCCTGGTAAGATAATATGTTTGGAGGTTTATTTGGTTAGAGGTATCAAGATATATATTAAAAAGTTGGACTTTGAAAGATGAGTAGAGTTTTGAAAGGGTATGTAGGAAAGAAAATGCCTAAGTGGAACACAAATGAAAAATCTGATAGAGAATAGCAAGTGTTCCTACCCCTAGCATATCCCCCAAATTGCCAGACCAATAATTATTTACCTTTAGTCACTTAGAATTTAAATATCATTTCTCTCAAGAAGCTTCCTTGATATCCCCAGTATAGGATATATACAGTTAATACCCTGTTTTAACCTCATTGTGTTAGACTTTGTGTCTTTATTGGTGAATCCACAGGGCCTTGAATAGTACCTGTCTGATAGTATGTGCTCAATAAATAATTGTTTAATACATAAAATTATTTATTGGAACATAAGAAGATTTCAAAGAACAATGGAGAGTAGGAACTCTTGCTTTGTGTTTCCTAGATTTGCCTACTTCAAGGATCTAGAACAATGATATCCAGGAGAACTTTCTATAATGATTGCAATGTTCTATATACATTTATGCTGGCCAGTATGGTATCTGCTAGATACATGTTGTTATCAGCACATGAAACATGAGTCATGCAATTAAGGAACTGACTTATTTACGTACTTATTTATTGTACCAGGGATTGAACTCAGAGGCTTTTGACCAATGAGCCACATTCCCAGCCCTATTTTGTATTTTATTTAGAGACATGGTCTCACTGAGTTGCTTACATTCTGAGCCACTAGGATTACGGTGTGCCATGGTGCCCTACTTTATTTATTTATTTATTTATTTATTTGGTGGTGCCGGGCATTGAACCCAGGGCCTTAGCACATGGAAGGCAAGCACTCTACCCACTGAGCTATATCCCCAGCTCTCTATTTATTTTTATTAATTAAATTTACATAACCACATGTGGTTAATGGTTATCCAACTGTACAACACAGGACTAGATTCAGATTTACTCTGATAACAATTGATGTATCTAGCATTTATACCTTGTTTTCTAATACCATTCCCCACTAAAAGGAACCAGAGAATTTTGGAGAAATGACAGATCTCTAGGGGGCAAAAAGGATTAAGATTAGCCTGGCGAATCTTAATGTTATCAGAAAGCAAGAAGGTATTCAAAACAAAATGATGGAGGCATGTTGAAAGAACACAGGAGCTAGGTTGAAGAGGTTCCTCCTGGCCAAACCTCGGACTATTTGCACTTCAAAATAATTAAGGGTAGTATTGAAAAAAGAGGAACTGAGAGTTCTTATTAATAAGATATAGATAGGAAAACTGACTAGATTAATGGAGGAAATTGAGGAATTTCTATATGTAGGATACTGATAATATATGGAATGAGTGATAAAATTAGAGAACCATTTTGCAATTGTCATAGTAAAGACTGAGCAAGAATCATCAATGGAATGATGAGCAACAAGATATTTGCATTGGGCTGAGGTTGTGGCTCAGCAGTAGAGTACTCACCTAGCACATGCAAGGCCCAGGGTTTGATCCTCAGCACCACATAAAAATAAATAAATAAAATAAAGGTATTGTGTCCAACTACGATTAAAAAATATTTTTTAAAAAAGGTATTTGCATGGTCCTACAGTACACCCTACCCCAGTTTCCAGCAGACTCATAGCAACTTTATTATAGAAAACAAGCTGGGTATAAGGGGCACTCCTGCAATCCCAGCAACCAGGGAGGCTGAAGCAGGAGGATTGCAGCCTGGACCACAAAAAAACAAAAACCCCAAAATAACAACTTTAAAAGGGTAGGGGATGTTGCTCAGAGGTAGACAGCCTCTGGGTTTAATCCCCAGAAGCACACACAAAGAACTTGACAATACTTTGCATTATCAAAGTTGTCTATGAGAAAGATTCAATATCATGCTGGGATTAGAAACTTCAGTTTAATTATGAGATAACATCAAATGAAGCCAAAATCAGAAACATCAAGGAACCAGGAGAAGGGAGAGCATGATGGAGACCAGGCAGAAATACACATGAGAGAGTTTATTTGTCAGAGCTGACAAATAAAGGCACATCCCTCCATAGTGGAGAGGGGCAACACAGGCTTGAGTTCTGGGGCTTTTATGTGGCAGGCTCAGAGATTAGAGCCTGGTGGGTCCCAATGTGGGTGATTAAGGGTAGGGCTTATATGAGGGAATGGTAATACACCCTTGGGCAGGAAAATAATGGGTGTTACTTAGGATGGCTGCCCAGATGCTAAACAAGGATCTTATGTAACTGGCTGGACTGGACACAATGGCACATGCCTATAATGTGAGCAACTAGGAAGACTGAGATAAGACTGCAAATTTGAGGCTATCTTGGAATACTTAGCAAAACAATGTCTTACAATTTTAAAAAATGGGGGGACATGAGCTGGGGCTACAGCTCAGTGTTAGAGTGCCCCTGGGTTTAATCTCCAGGACCACAAAAAAAAAAAAAAAAAGAGAGAGAAAGAAAAAGAAAACTGGTATTTCAAAAATGTCAATGGCATGAAAGCCAAGAGAGGCCAAAGAATTGTTCTAAATTGAAAGATAGATGAAAA